ATATATATATATATATATATATATATATGTATATGTGTGTGTGTGTGTTTGTAAAATGGCAGTTATATAAATATCTGAAAGTACACTCTTAACATCTGTCAGTCAAGCATTATAATATGATAATCAATCATTTAATGAATGTGTGTGCGTTCGCTCGAACTGATTTTCTGAAATCAAAACAGGGATGATGATAATAGGTGAGCGCCAGCCAATGAGATTGCCGTTTGCAAATTAGTTCCGCCCACTACCGGAGAAAGCGGCAGTTCTTTCAATGGAAAGCCAAACGCCGACGTGTCTGGGTTCACAGCACCATCCAGATGAGGATGAATAACGTTAGGATCCTGTATTAATGTGTGTGTTACATCTTACTACTGTATACACTGATATTACTATTATTTTTATTATTGATAGCAGCATCTTGCTACACTTAACCTCCAACTCACACACTGGCGAGTAAAATCTGAGAATTTATTAGCCATTGGCTAATATTAGACATCATTTAGTCGCCCAGAGTAAGATTTAGTCGCATATGCGAGTGATTTACTCGCAATGTAGATAGAGGGTTGGACTGACTGTGAAATGGTGACTGGCGCTTCCCCTAACACATCTTATTTTACTTTGTCGCTTTCTTTTACGTTATCATGAAAATAGGAAAATGAATTGATAAATCTCAAAAGAATATGTCCAGGTTGTATTTTATCACAAAATCATAAGGAGCTATTGTGTAAAGTAATTGGAAGCCTATCTTTAGGACCATTTTGGTTAATTGATTTGTGACATCATGCTGTTGGAATGTAATTAGCTATTACAACTAATTTAATTTACACTGATTTTAATAAAACACTGGCAGTAGTACAAACACTAGCATGTTGTTGTTGTTGTTTTACATATCAATTTAAAGCTTATGTATTTTTCTGATTTCCATTTCAAATAAATGCAGTTCTTTTGAGCAGCAATTCAACATTTTAGAATGGTTTCTGAAGTGTCACATGACACTGGAGTAATGGCTGCTGAAAATCAGCTTTGCCATCACAGGAATAAATTAATTTTAATGAAAATATTAAAATGGAGAAAATGTCTTTATTATTGCACTATATTATGGTTTTTCTGTATTTTTGATTAAAAAATGTAGAGCATAAGAGACAAATTTTACAGACCCCATTTACTTTTTTTTTTTTTTAAACAATTATTTATGACCGTAATGAGAATTAGGGGTTTTCAATGCAATTTTTTGACATTTTCTTCACTGACTTCATGAGATTTAGCTAAATATCACTAATTAATTTTTGTATCTGGCTAGTTATAGAACACCAACGTATTTCAGAGGATATAAACATCGTGTGAGATGTTGTGACATACCATCATTTGTGACCACCCGTCTCCTTGCAGGTCTCCCTCGGGTGCGATTCCTTTGCAGGGCTGTTGAGGTAATAAAGAGAGAGCGTTGGATGTTTAAAGTGTCAGGGGGGCTGTACGTGAGCCGACAGCAGCTGCCACTCAAACTGGCCTGGGCCATTTCAATCCACAAGAGTCAGGTGAGCTCTGCTCTCATGTCCCACCATGAGTCATTTTGCATAGGTAGTAAGCTACAGAGTCAAACCTGCATCAACTGACTGCATAGAATGAAATCTAATTTTGCTAAATTGTGCCGTTGATCTCATACTGGTTTGAGCCCCAGTGGAAATTATCATGTGATTTCACTGAAAATGCTATTAAAATGAAATAACTTGGCTCAGGAAGAGTGTTTTATGTATCTGTAAACAGATGCTCAGGGCTATGGTTCTGGTTTGTGTTTTGACTCCTTAACTAAGTCCCCATGTTTACCCATCTTTTCTGACTATGTGCCTTCTGTACTGATGAACTGTCAAAGTTATCGCCGTTTAGCTCATCAGCTGTCTGGCAAATGTTTGAGAAACCTTGCATGTGTCTATGTCCCAATGCTCAGTAGAGGAACTGAGAAAAATATTAAATCAATTCCCCATAACCATGTGGGTCTGAAACTCTCAAGTATTACATCCCACAATGACTCGATTTGGTTTTAACACTATAATTGTCCTAAAAATTTTTATTAAAGGGATAGTTCACCCCTAAATGAAAACATTGTTTACTCACCCTTATGTTTTTCCAAACCTGGACGAGTTTTTTTTCTGTGGAAAGGAAATGGAAGATATTTTTAATGTTAATAACCAAACCATTTTGGTTCCCATAGACCTTTTTAGACAATTGTATGTATAAAAAAAATACAGTGGAAGTCAATTAGTTTGGTTCAGGCCCGGTGCGAGAGACACGGCCACGGACATCACTGTGCCCCCCTCCTGACCAAGGGGGACGGCTGGACTTTAGTTTCGCGTGTAAAATAGTCTAACTGATTGTTTTTAGATGGAAAAGCTGCCCATAACTCCTGGTCTAGGATCTGTTTTCTTCGTAATAATAGCATAACGAAATAGATTTGGCAAACAATCCAGTGTATCTGCCCTTCTGGTTTGGAAAGCGTCAAATGATTTTACAATGCATTTTCGCAGAGGGAGCAAAGTAGCCAGTCACAGACATGTTTGTTCAGTCAAATTATTTTACAATGCATTTTCGCAGAGGGGAGCAAAGTAGCCAATCACAGACATGTTTGTTGATTTCTACAATGCAATGGCCAATCAGATGTGTTTAGGTTGGAATCCACGCACTCACCTCTTTTTGTCCAGTGCTGAGTTCTATCATGCTCATAACTTAGTTTAATTGTGTGGTCACATTCATTGGTTAAAACGGAACTTTGTGAGATCGTGATGAATGAGTGACAGTTTTTAATCAATTTAAAGGGAGTGCTGTATACGATAATATATTCAGAATTTAAATAAAACGTGTGGTTTTTTTCATGCTTGACAAGCGGCCAATAATGTACAGTTTGTGGAAAATTATGTGGTTTTTTTACCTTAAACCGCATAAACACATTTCATTACACCAAATACACAAAATAATGTTCTTTTTAGCAGCATCATATGACCCCTTTAAAACAAAAAAAACTTTTGAAATGTTTTACTTTACATGTAATGAATCTAGAATATATAAAAGTTGAAATTTGAAATAAGTTACAAAAAACAGAACTTTTTCGCGATATTTTAATTGAGATGCACCTGTATATTCTTAAATTTAAAAAAAGGTAAAAAGTAGAAAAAGAGGGGGGAAATTAGTAATTTGTTCAAAAAGATCATTTAACTTAATTTGGAGACTTAAATACTTTGGCAAAAGGTTAGTCACTTCTGGACTTCATAATATCATAAAATATGTATTTTTATAACAATTGTGACATTCTGTTGTTGTAAATTGATAGTTTGTCTTCGGGCTACAATTTTACTTTAGTTCAGTCAGGACTGCTGTCGTCAAAGCCATGCATGTGTAAGGGCAGGGAGCACAGCGTTATAAACAAAAACCAAAACAAAACCATATGCTAAACATCCCCCAACCATCAAATTGACAGATTTTTTTTTTAAATATTGAGTGCCAAATGAATAGGTCAAAATTTGATCCAATTTCTTAGCTAGAGCAGTAATTAGAGCAGACACAAGGGTGTCCAATTCTGCTCCTTAAGGGCCACTGTCCTGCAGAGTTTAGCTCCAACCCCAATTAAACACCTGAATCAACTAATTGAGGTCTTACTAGGCATACTAGAACCTTCCAGGCAGGTGTGTTGAGGCAAGTTGGAGCTAAACTCTGCAAGACAGTGGCCCTATAGGACCAAGTTTGGACACCCCTGCTTTAACAGCATCGTAGCTTAAATTAACTAGCGAAATCTTCTGGCTTGAGCAACCAGCCTATTTGCTTTGTCTTGGTTAGCTTTGACAGTGAGAGAGCCTGGTTCCAATACAAAAAACAATGTGGTATTTCTAGCATATTTATTAAAAATCTGATTTCCATGAAAGACAAGTGATTATTGAATGAAATTCATGGCGGGTATCTTGATTGTTTGGTGTGTTTAGGGCATGACTCTGGATTGTGTGGAGATCTCTTTGGCACGTGTGTTTGAGAGCGGCCAGGCCTATGTTGCTCTGTCACGGGCCCGGAGTCTAGAAGGCCTGCGTGTGATGGACTTTGATCCGCGAGTAGTGAGGGCCAACCAGGATGTGCTGCTCTTTTATAAGAGACTGAGGAAAGAGAGGCTGCTCATGCAGGTCAGTCCACCCTGGACAATTACTCTGTTTCTCAGATCAATACCCTGTTCTGTGTTAGACCAGACTGCCTCAATTTTAAAGATGAATCTAAATGATTTTAGATTGGCTAATAAAAGTCTCCCAGGAAGCTCAAATTACTGGATGATTTTACAGTAGTTGTCAGAATTGAAATTGCCCAATTTCAGCAAGGCTTACATTGATTTAGGAAGTTTATTATAGGTCTCTGATTGTAATATCTTTTTCTTCCCCCAGTCCTCAATGAATGACTTTGTTGGACAGAGCTATAAGGAGAATTCCCATTGGTGAGGTGGTGATATGAAGCTCTGATTTTCATATGCACTGTGTGCATGAATGCATCAGGAACATGTTTAATTCAGTTAGCATTTCTTATTGGGTAAATTATAATACCCTGCTTTTCAACTGAGCGATTATTTATTTTTTATAAATATTGCCCTAAACCCTGTTTTATGTAACCATGTATTTATTTTAATAAAATTTCTGTGGTTTTATACATATGATTTGGTTTGATTATGAAAGTGCTTGTGGCAGTGGTTTTCTAATTGTAAGTGAAATGTGTGTTCTTATAATTTGGTTTGGTATGTTTAGTTGAATATTCTGGCTCGTTGAATTTAGATTAAGTGGTACCCAACGTCCTGTAACTGCATACATTACGGTCAAGAGTACACATATTTCCCTCTTCATCAGCTTCAGTGAGATGCTTAAAAAAGTGTTTGTTAAACTTCCATAGATCATTATCCTTTTAAAAAATATACGATTAATAATCCAGTATCCATACAGGCATATGTGCCAGTAGAACACAATTTCATGGGTTGTTCTTACTAACTCACAACACTGTTGTAGCAAAATCCAAACAAGTTTTTTCTCTCTTTATCAAAAACCTTCCGGGCAGGTGTGTTGAGGCAAGTTGGAGCTAAACTCTGCAAGACAGTGGCCCTATAGGACCAAGTTTGGACACCCCTGCTTTAACAGCATCGTAGCTTAAATTAACTAGCGAAATCTTCTGGCTTGAGCAACCAGCCTATTTGCTTTGTCTTGGTTAGCTTTGACAGTGAGAGAGCCTGGTTCCAATACAAAAAACAATGTGGTATTTCTAGCATATTTATTAAAAATCTGATTTCCATGAAAGACAAGTGATTATTGAATGAAATTCATGGCGGGTATCTTGATTGTTTGGTGTGTTTAGGGCATGACTCTGGATTGTGTGGAGATCTCTTTGGCACGTGTGTTTGAGAGCGGCCAGGCCTATGTTGCTCTGTCACGGGCCCGGAGTCTAGAAGGCCTGCGTGTGATGGACTTTGATCCGCGAGTAGTGAGGGCCAACCAGGATGTGCTGCTCTTTTATAAGAGACTGAGGAAAGAGAGGCTGCTCATGCAGGTCAGTCCACCCTGGACAATTACTCTGTTTCTCAGATCAATACCCTGTTCTGTGTTAGACCAGACTGCCTCAATTTTAAAGATGAATCTAAATGATTTTAGATTGGCTAATAAAAGTCTCCCAGGAAGCTCAAATTACTGGATGATTTTACAGTAGTTGTCAGAATTGAAATTGCCCAATTTCAGCAAGGCTTACATTGATTTAGGAAGTTTATTATAGGTCTCTGATTGTAATATCTTTTTCTTCCCCCAGTCCTCAATGAATGACTTTGTTGGACAGAGCTATAAGGAGAATTCCCATTGGTGAGGTGGTGATATGAAGCTCTGATTTTCATATGCACTGTGTGCATGAATGCATCAGGAACATGTTTAATTCAGTTAGCATTTCTTATTGGGTAAATTATAATACCCTGCTTTTCAACTGAGCGATTATTTATTTTTTATAAATATTGCCCTAAACCCTGTTTTATGTAACCATGTATTTATTTTAATAAAATTTCTGTGGTTTTATACATATGATTTGGTTTGATTATGAAAGTGCTTGTGGCAGTGGTTTTCTAATTGTAAGTGAAATGTGTGTTCTTATAATTTGGTTTGGTATGTTTAGTTGAATATTCTGGCTCGTTGAATTTAGATTAAGTGGTACCCAACGTCCTGTAACTGCATACATTACGGTCAAGAGTACACATATTTCCCTCTTCATCAGCTTCAGTGAGATGCTTAAAAAAGTGTTTGTTAAACTTCCATAGATCATTATCCTTTTAAAAAATATACGATTAATAATCCAGTATCCATACAGGCATATGTGCCAGTAGAACACAATTTCATGGGTTGTTCTTACTAACTCACAACACTGTTGTAGCAAAATCCAAACAAGTTTTTTCTCTCTTTATCAAAAGAAAAGGCCAAAGCTATATGTGACCCTGTACCACAAAACCAGTCATAAGGGTAAATTTTTCAAAATTGAGATTTATACATAATCTGAAAGCTGAATAAATAAGCTTTCCATTGATGTATGGTTTGTTAGGATAGGACCGTATACTTGGTCCAAATATTTAACCAATATTTGGCCGAGATACAACTGTTTGAAAATCTGGAATCTGAGAGTACAAAAAAATCTAAATATTGAGAAAATCGCCTTTAAAGTTGTCCAACTGAAGTTCTTAGCCATGCATATTACTAATCAAAAATGAAGTTTTAATATATTTACAGTAGGAAATTTACAAAATATCTTCATGGAACATGATCTTTACTTAATATCCTAATGATTTTTGGCATAAAAGAAAAAGCAATGCAAAAAATACAATGTATTTTTGGCTATTGCTACAATATACCCCAGCGACTTAAGACTGGTTTTGTGGTCCAGGGTCAAATATTACATTCTCAGTGACAGAAGATTTTAACTTAACATTTAAGCTCTGGTGCGTTTTTTGGTATTTTCGCCTAAATTTGACATGCTCAAATTCAAATTTTTACCCTACATGCATACAATGGAGGAAATGAAAAAAAATGGTTTCATTGTAAAGAAAACCATTTGACCTTCAAAATATGAGTGTAATCCTTTATAAATAACATTATATATTTTTCAAATATTACAATAAACGCAAAAAAAACAGGCGCTTTTTGATTTAAATTTTTTTTTTTTTTTTTTAAGTGTGTAATTCAGGTTCTATTAGGTCCAGCTCTTTGCAATTTACTTTGTTTGATGCCACTAGATGCCAAAATGTACCAGAAAAAAAGAATCTTTCAAATAACAGCTTCTAAACAGGAGTTACTGCATTATAAGTGAAGCGAGTAAAATTGTCCTTTTTTTGCATATACATGTGTCATTTTGAGTTTCCTTTGCAAAAACAGGCTTTATAAAACACATTACCCCCAGAATTCTATTTTACTATGTGCTATAAGCACTTTTGTTGATTATTGATTGAATTGTTTCATTTTTATGTTTTTCTAAGTAGTAATATACAAAATGGCATAAGCGAATTGGACCAAATTTCACATTTTGAGTTTTCTACAATCAGTTTTAATCTTTCAGGATACACAAGACCTGAAATATATTATAAAAAAATATCTATAATAGAATCCACATCCTCCAGCTTTATATCATTCCATTTATGTGCATTCTGTATTGGTATATACTGATTCAGAGCATCTCCTCACCTCATCAGCTGAGCCAGCCTCTTCCTGCCAACATCTTTGCATCCCTGGACCAGAGCTGAGCTAATCCGATAGCCACGGCTGCTATGACCTTCAGAGCGTGAAACAAACAAATAAATGATCATTCACACAGCACTGTAATAATCCATGTATATTTACTGAAATGCATCATGTACTGTCCTTGTCTGTCAATAAACAGTTTATCAGATTGCTATCTGTGCTATCACGTTTCAAAATAAAGATTCAAAGATCACAAATGGAGAAAACGCTGATAAAGCCTCACCAGACGCGCGTTCATTCCTCTCCACGGCGCCGCTGAACGTTCTTCATCATATACAACTTGTAATATGATTATCATAGATTGATATTCTCCAAGCCGCAGATGCCATAGCTTTTCTGCGTGGTATTATTGCTTTCAAAACTGTCCGAAACGACAAGTCCCAAACAACAACACAGCTGCTAGCAGAGCTTTCCCGGATCCGGATGCGGTGTCTGCCCCCTCGACCACCCTCCTGTTGATGCAGAGGTGTCAAATTTCACAGCTCTGACTGGCCCGCTGAGTGACAGAGTCATGAAACCTGACCAATTGCAGTCCACAGGCCAGCACAGAATTCTAAAAGGATCAGACCTGCCTGGCTTTAGCGCGGATGATTTGGAGAGCACGTCTATGGCAGAAAGTGCGTCTGTTTTTTCTGGTGCCCATCTGGACAAAACGCTATATATCTCACCGATGGAAGCACGCAGAAACGTGAAAATTGTCTTGTTTGAAAGAAGAGATCCTAATCAAAAAGATAATATTATAGAGTATATACATATTTGTGGCTATTTGTGGCTGACTGAAGCAGTGCTACGAGTAGGAATGTAACCCATACGAAAATTTGCTTAGAGGTGAGAAATTTCACATTGCGATTCTATTGAAGATCATTCGATCTGTGATTGTCACACAATGAAATATATGACTTGACTGTTTTGTGAAAAATATATAAAATACACATTCTTCTGAAAAAGTATTCGCAATCGTTAGGCGGAAATTCGTTTTATGAATCCTTTATGATTCACTTTATGGTATTCTTTGTAAAGAAGACACTCCAGTTGCTGAATCTTATGTTCATACAAATATTTACATGTTAAGAAATTTGCTGTAAATAAAGCAGTTGAATGTGAGAGGACTTTTTTTTGCGTGTAGACCCAATTGCAATTACACATAGTCTCTCAGGGTGGCAGTAGACATTGCATTTTTAGTTGCTAGTTTCTCCTTGCTTTAACTCAGCGGACCCAGATACGGGTCCAAAATCACGTAAAAAATGTTTATGCTTCATTTACATAGCCTTCCTTATACAGGTGCATCTCAATAAATTAGAATGTCGTGGAAAAGTTGAATTACTGAAATAAATGAACTTTTCCACGACATTCTAATTTATTGAGATGCACCTGTATAAGGAAGGCTATGTAAATGAAGCATAAACATTTTTTACGTGATTTTGGACCCGTATCTGGGTCCGCTGAGTTAAAGCAAGGAGAAACTAGCAACTAAAAATGCAATGTCTACTGCCACCCTGAGAGACTATGTGTAATTGCAATTGGGTCTACACGCAAAAAAAAGTCCTCTCACATTCAACTGCTTTATTTACAGCAAATTTCTTAACATGTAAATATTTGTATGAACATAAGATTCAGCAACTGAGACATAAACTGAACAAGTTTCACAGGCATTTGACATTAGAAACTGAATATTGAGACCCTGAACAAAGGGGTAGATGTAACGTTGCAGTCAGTATCTGGCCAACATTGATTTTTTATTTTTATTTTTTTTGAGGAAAAGGCATGTGAACAAATGTGTGTACTTTCTGTACATGTACAACACAAGTTTTAGGTCTCTGGTGTTGCTTGTGCTGTACATTTAAATACACATCTGTGGAGCTCTAGATGCTCCACTGGAAATGCAGTACGATGATAGCGTCTCAGAGGGGCTTCATTTAACTGAACTGAAGAGCTTCTGTGCAATCTGTAAGACAATGATGATACTGGAGCAATATTTTTTTAAGGGAAAGTTCACCCAAAAATGAAATTTGTCTTTTACTCACCCTCAAGTTGTTCTAAACAGTTGACAGTAGCCACTGACTTTATATATACAGTATATATATATATACAGTGGGTACGGAAAGTAGGGTCTGTATACTTTCCGTACCCACTGTGTATATATATATATATATATATACCATTTTTTTTCCTACCAGCAACTGTTCAGATTCTTCAAAATATCATCTTCTGTATTTAGCAGAAGAAAGAAATTCATCAGGTTTGTATCAACTGTGACAGAATGTACATTTTTTGGGTGAACTATTACTTTAAGACAGTGGTCCTCAAATCTGGCTCACGAGATCCACTTTCCTGCAGAGTTTAGCTCTACCCTAATCAAACACACCTGAGTTTGCTAATCAATGTCTTCAGGAGCATTAGAAAATCCCAGGTAGGTTTGTTTGATTATAGGGTTGGAGCTAAACTCTGCAGGAAAGTGGATCTCGCGAGCCAGATTTGAGGATCACTGCTTTAAGAGAACACATTTAAGAACTGACACTAAAAATTGAAGTTTAAAAAAAATTGCTTTTTAACTGCTGCTAAGTGTGACTTACACAATGGTCCAGTGCATGTAGAAAGTCGAAAAGCTCCTCTGTGCAGTCCTCCTCAGTGTGTGACCGTGTGCTAATTCTAGTTTCACAAGCTTCTAGCCTTTCTCGTGCATGTATGCAATGTGCCGTCTGCTCACATTCCTGTCTTATTGTTTCTAGGGGGTCCTGCAGAGGGCCAGACACTGTTTAATCTATATGACTACCTCTCCTTCAGCATTTTTGTCTCTTTTTTTCTTTCAAAATTAAACCAAAAAGATGCATTTATAACAGAAGAATTTAATGTTTAGCCAATACATTTTAGATATTGTAGTAGCATACCACCATCTCTTCTTCTTCCTCCTCATCAGCACCATCTTTTCCTTAATCTTCCTCTGCTGTTGTCTGTCCTTTACAAATAAGAGAAAAGACGCAAAAATGTAGTACCATGAAACTATTTAACAAATATTAATATACAATTTTGGGGACCAAAATGGTATTATTGAATCTTAGTGTTTTATATAAACATTTTACTGTCTTTGCAATGTAAGCATCATTAAGTACTTAAATACATTGATATAGTATTATAAATGTTGTTTACAACACTATTCTATACGATATTTAACAGGAGCATCTGTTCTTTATTTACCAAGGGGTCCTTGAATATAACAAATTCTAATATAATATTTTAACTAACCTCCCTGAAACTATAAGTGAAGTGCCTTCAACCAATTTTGCTGACTATATTAACAAAATGTTGTTTACAACACTATTCTATACGATATTTAACAGGAGCATCTGTTCTTTATTTACCAAGGGGTCCTTGAATATAACAAATTCTAATATAATACTTTAACTAACCTCCCTGAAACTATGTGAAGTGCCTTCAACCAATTTTGCTGACTATATTAACAATATAGCATTAAAAAAAAAAAAAACTTTAGACCATCTCTTGATTAAACCAAAGAAAATGTATTAAGCAGAATCACATTGAAATGTTCCCTTGCTGTGCAACAAAAATAAAGATACCGCTCTAGGTTCTACCCAGCAATGAGGTGAACAGGTGTTTCGGCTGGAACACTGCTTTAACCAATCATCGGCCAAAATCAATTGTGTATTATTTCTTATTATTCTCCCTTTTTAAAATAGGCCTCCTTGTGTCGTAAGCTGCGTATTGAAGAGTGGTCAAACTCATCTCATAGTTAAAGTTAAGGTAAGTTAAATTAAGTGCATATTATTACACACGTCACTCTTCCACACGAATAAGTTATTAGTAAACAAATCATCTAAATAACAGCAGCCAGAACAGTTTCTAATGTTCATGTCAGGTCTGGTCAAGACAGCTAACATGTTAACAATACGGTGGTCGAGAAGTGCAAAGCAAATCACAATTCTGAAAACAAAATAAAAAATTACAAACGCAAATGCAAGTCTAAAAAACAAAATAACAATTCAGAAAGCACAACAACAATTCAGAAAACATTATAACAAGTCAGAAAACACAATGACAAATTCGAAAACAAAATAAGTCAGAAAACACAACGACAAATCAGACAAACCGGAAGAGGTAGGTATAGTTTGAGACAGCACCATTGGTTTGGGATTACTCACCGCTGACTGGACGAGACATCTGTCAATCAACGTATACCAGAAGAACCAGCCGAAGAACAGCAGAGTCGTGGTAGAAAGTTCGGAGATGGTATTAAAGTAGCTCAGTTTAAATGTATTGTATGAATTGTCCTTACT